TTAGTCATAGCCACCTGGTTGATTAGAAAAATTGCTATTACAGCTAAAGGAATTGAAACAAAGCTGTAGTTAGGTCAAGAAAAGTTCAGATAGAGCAAGCCTAACAAGATTCATTCCCGAGGCCTTGGAAACTCAGTACAAAGCCGATGACCTGTTCCTAAGAAAGGCAATACTCTATTATAGGGCTACAGGGTAACAACAGGAGCAGACTGTACTTTTCATGGAAGAAGATTGTTATTCCGCAGCTTGTAACACGAAATGGCTATGTTACGGGCTTGTTCCAAAGCTTGTGGAAATGAGTGCACGGTGGATCAGGAGTGGCCCAAGAGAGCAAACTCAAGACTAGCTCTGCATCAGGGTAGTCATTACAAGCGTGAAGGGGGAGAGTTATGTGCAATCCAGCTTCTTCCTGCTCATGTTCCTGATGGTGCTTGTGGAGGGCTGGCTCTATTTGTAGTGCTCTTGTGCATGGCATTTAAGGCCTATCATCGTGTCTCCCACACCTGTAGCAGGTGTGTTGCTGGATTAAGACCGTGTTTCCCTCCAAGTCTGGAGGTGCTTGGTTGGAACGGGTAAATTAGGTGCATCTCTGCAGAGGTAGAGACGTACGTCTGTTTGACGTACTGCCATTTCCTAGTTCGTTTTGGCTATTTGCTTTTTGCTTCATTGCGTTCCTATGAAATCCATATTCAGCAGCCATTTCCCTTCACACCTGCAGTACAACGAACGGGTCAAACTTCTTGTCCATATTTTTAGTTGAAAGATACTTTTTTTCTGAAAGCAAGTCCAGAGTCTCTTCCACTTGTCGTTATTTTTACGTTCCCTGCCTTTGTGCATTAATGCATCTACCATGTCCCTGGCTTTGCTGCTACGTCCCATAGCTATGCTTCGTTTTAAGAGATCGCTTTGCTTGTAGTAAGGCAAGCATTAAGTGCCTCTTGGGTCCAGTTGGTTGCTGGTTCCCCATTTCTCAGTTCTACCCTGATACTTTATCCGTGAACGTGGTCCCTGTATGCAGTCCCACTGGCCGGCTCATTCTGTTTGCCCTTGCCCTTTAAAAACTGTTTGGCGGAGGAGCTGTGATCTGTTGTGCCATTAACTGGCTTTGCAGTTTCTCAGCTTTCTGTGATCAGAAAGGCTGGGCACTTCCTTTTATTGCAGCACGTTTCTTTCTCCAGAAGCTGCTCCACTGAGATCCTCCCGTTTCCCGTCAGGCTTGCATTCAGGGAACCAGCCGTCCCTGGGTGTCCCCGGAGGGAATGCCCAGTTCCTCCGTCAGCCCCAGGTGGTTCTCTTCTCCATCTCTGCAGAACATAATGCCCTGGTCGGCACAGTCTGCTTCGGTGAGTGAACTGAAATTGTTTGCAAATGCAGGCAGGTGGCAAGACTTCGAGGCTTGCTTTGCATTTTGCCTTTCTCTGTCTTCTTGTGGTTTGAAGAAGCGGTATATGTCTGCTCCAAGCCTCTAGCCAGCCAAGCTCGCTCCTTTACTGGAAAGGCTAAGGCCTTTCAGGGTAGAGGTTTTTACTCTAAAAATGCTTCTTCTAACCTTCCTTTGTACCCCGTGCTTCAGCGCAGGCAGAACCCAAATGAAGGTGCTTTGGTTATCACTGTCCTGCAGGCTCCAGGGGGACGGCGTCCAGCTCTGTTCAGTGTTTGGTGTATGTTTGCAGTAGATGAGCCTTGGTTCTGACGCAGCGTGCTTTTGGGTGTGGGTGGGAGGGAGATACCTTCTTGTGCAAAGGCTGCCTGTGTTAGATGGTATTGCCACAGCTTTTCGGCAAAGGGCCAGGCAGCACAGGGTTTCAGGCCATCCCAATTGCTCATTGCTCTTTTAACCTTGCATGATGGAGCGATGGCAATGCCAGGTTTAGCATCTGTTGCAAACGGGGAGGGTGCAGTTCTATGGAGCAAGCAAGGAGCAGGTTGGGCCTGTCTCACCCAATTCTGTGTAATGGTGAGGTGTTTGGTCAAACCTGCGGGCTGAGGCAGCATGCCTGCAGGATGCTTATGCCATCCGAAGACAGGCATCTAGGTGAAGTCCTGGAAATGCTGAACTGCTAGCGTGTACTAATCACCTGTCTGTTAGGTAGCAAACAGTATGGAAAGAAGTGAGTGAGTCAAGGATAGGACTCCTGACACAGCATTTCTACTAACTCCCTTTCTGGAACTGGAGAGGAAATGCGTGTTGCTGCAATGGGAGCCAGAATGCATGCCTGGTGCTCAGGGATTTGTGGATTTCTTTGACAGAGATCTTGGCTTCACCTTTCCTATGGCCCCGTCACCTTTGTGTCCGTTCCCTCCTGTGCTCCACCTCCAAGGGAGCAGAGCAGAGCATGGCCTTCCCAGATGGGAAGGCCTGAAAGGCCTTCAGAGCACAAGGGAGAAGGCAAAGCAAATAGATCTGGGGACAAATACTTGGGCACATGTAACTAATCCTTATTGTTTATCAGCATGCTCACACATTCTCATTAAGCAAGTATTAAGTCAGGGTTAATCATAAAAACTGATGGAGGCTTCTGCTCTCACTATCACTGAGTCCTAACTAAGCAAGTGAACCACTGAGTTGTTCGGAAAGGACACACTAGCCAGAGGTCTCGTGGCATTTCTGTTCAAGAGAAGTGACTGCAGATTTAAAAGCATTCACGTGTTTTTCCCTTGCAGATAAGTAGTTTTTATTTTGCTTTCTCACAACTGCCTACCTGGGACTTAATTCACTTTCTGCTCTCTACAGTTGAGCAGCAGCAAAGTTTGATTTTGTTCTCTCTCTTTTATATTTATCCAGGCTGAGATTTTTCTTTTTGCAGCATCAAATGAATTCTGGACAAGAGAATACGACCCTTTAGGACAAGAAGCAAAAACAAATGTGGGAATTCATTATTGTAGGGAGTTGTTCAGTTAATGAACTTCATAAAAGTAAGCAAAAATACGGTTAAAAGACTGCATATTTATGTAGATAGTAAGAATATGCAGTACTGTGTTTATGAAACACTTGGAAAGAGGTATTAAATGTTGTGCTTTAGAGCTTAAGCTGACCTCTAATTACATGAGATAAGACTGAAATTCAGTGCAGGGGAAAGACACTCGATATCTACCTCCTGCAAGGTTGCAATCTCTCTATTATGGCAGTTATTACTGGCTACTGCCAGAAACTGGGCACTGGGCCATGTGAACCTTGGCACTGAGCATGTCTGGCCACCTCTCTTAAGTTACTGTGCATCAAGAATGATCTATTTAGTTAATGCTACAGAAGTACTCTTAAAATAGATAACACAGAGCGGTGTGGCTGGGATTTGAGGCTGATTTTCCTTATCTTCAAAAAATGGCAGGGAGATAGTATCCCTCGAGTCATCACTGTATCTTTCTTTATAAGAGAGTCTGTGTTGCTTCATTGCTCTCACAGTGCAGATGGGGTTTTATCCTCAACCAGTTAGATGTGAAGTTACTCTCAGCCCACGGTTTTGTTCTGATATTTCCAAAGTGGAACACTTGGGCTTTCTTTTTCTAAACCAACGCACGCTTGAAAAAAAGCAAGCAAAACAAGTTTTGTTTGACCAGAAACGTTTTATTTTTGGCCTAGCCACTAGATGAAAAGTTGGTGGTTTTTTGTTTTTCAGAGCTGTGGCCAGTCCCTGGAGATAAGGATACACTGGTAGATTTGTGCTTTACAGCTTATTTTGATATGCAGACCCCCAAAATGCGTTTGTTTTTCTTAGTTTTTGCGCTGGAGTAGTTTGCAGACCCCCAAGCATCCGCAGGTCACAGATTGAAGATGGCTGTGCTAGGGAATAGAAGATATTTCTCTCCTCTAGGCCCCACTACTCAGTGAGCTCCTGAACCCAGATGACAGTTTTTTTTCCTAGAGGACTCGGAGACTCTTCTTGTCTGAGCTGATAGTTGGCATCAGTAAGTGGAAGGCTCTGCTGCCTTCGGTGAGAATCAGCTCTTTCCTTGCTATGAGACCACTCCTCACCTGACGCTGCATCCTGGACTTATCCGTCTTCTTCTCGGGGTCCTTCCGCTGCCAACACAGAGTTGTTCAGTTCAGGAGATATGACAGCATCTTCGTCCCGGGCATGGCTGCAGTCATGTTGTCCTTGGTGCAGGTATCAGAAAACATACACATACGAGTCCCTGTCCACGAAGTGCATTTTTGTTCCTTAGAGGAACGTTTCTGCTGTTAAGTCAGCACGTCACAGTGTTTACCACTGTGAATTGAACCTTTGTTCCTGTTCTCAAGTGTTCTCTGGTTTCTTTTTGTGAGGAAGTACTTGTGGTTTTATTCTTGTGGCAGCAGTATCTTAAGTTCTGCTGGACTGTACCACTTAGTTGCATGACAGAGGGAAGGCCAAACTGACGAATTCAAACTGTGCATGATCCAGCTGTTGATGAGAATCTTGTAAACATATGATTCACACAAGTGTCTCAGGGCTTTTCTTCCCTATGTATGCAAATACTTTGCTTACCCTTGTAATTTAAAACTACTAGCCGTGAAGTACTTCCAGCAGTTGCCTGACATAAAGGAAACAGCACTGGCCATTTTCTGATGACGGCTTCCATTTATGTTTATCTCACAAGTGTTCCCAGTAACTTCTGACTGAGCCTCATAAGCTCGTAGGTCAAACGAGTGGACGCGAACTTCCGGAGACAGCAGGGCAGCCACGAGCTCGCTGGCTGCTCTACCCATGCCACAGCCCTGCAGAGCGAGGGAATGAGAGGTTCATCCCATGGGCAGTGGCTGCTCCTCTCCCCTGTTCGTCCTTCTGCAGCTAGCGTGGCTCTCTGTCCCCCCTCCTTCCTTCCCCAAGGACAGGAGCGTTCTTATGCTCTGAGTAGGCCCGCTGTCCTTTAAGACACAAAAGTCTGCGCGCCTTATGCTGCTGAGGCAACAACGTCCAGAGGCAGTCACGATGCCTCACTCGGTCCGAGTTCATCCTTTTTTGCTCCCCCACGTGAAACAGGTTGTGCGGTCACATGACAACGTTGCTTCTGTGCTGCAGGGAACTTCTGGACATGACTTGCCGTCTCGCCAACACCCTGAAGAAATATGGGATACAGAAAGGGGACAAGGTTGCAATCTATATGTCTGTGTCTCCCTTGTCTGTGGCAGCCATGCTGGCTTGCGCCAGGATTGGTGCCGTTCACACTGTGGTCTTCGCTGGATTCAGCGCAGAGTCCTTAGCTGCGAGAATCATGGACTGTAAGTAGACGCAACTGGGGAACAAACCCCTTCAGACAGTGCTCAGCACCCTCCAAGTTGTATCATTATCCAAATTCCACATTTTCTTGATGGAAAAGAAAAGATACATTCCCAGCTGGTTGGACAGTTCAGTACTTACGAAAAGTACTGTGAAGAGCCTTTTCCTTAGTGGCAGGCACAGTATCCTCTCGCCTTAAAATACTTCATGAATTGCTTAACGTTCAGTCTGCTCTGGGTTCCTGCCAGACAACAGTAAAGCTAGAGGGAAGACAAGAGATTAGGAATGGAGCCCGATTTATTCTTTTGCAGTATAGTTGCAATGTTTCTCTGATATTCATGCACAATGCTAGTTCTGCAGCCTATATTTTGATACTATATCTACAGCAGTGAAGTGTTGGTAGCCTGGCCCCACTCTGCTAGCCACTGTACCCACGTATAGAATTGTTTTTTAACCCAAAGCACTTGTAATGTGATTAAATAAAAAGTAGTGCTAAAATACAGCAGAGGAACAAAACAAACAGCAAGTGGCCCACATCTTTACCAGTTGCATCCATTTTTGTAGGGCTAGTGCAAGAGAATGAATCTTACAACAGTTTTAATCTTTTTTTTAGTAGAGTTAATCTACAGAGAGCAAGTGCATGTTTTGGTTTCTCTTTTGCTTCTGGCCACTGGTGTGGAAATGATGGGCTAAAAAGTCCCTTTTCTGCAGCCATAGCTCTAGAGCGCTGTTATGTGCTGTGGCTTCCCGGAAGTTTCCTCACAAGGTCCTTGTGAGTTTAGAAGGCTGCAGGCATCTCAGAACATGAGACAACCCTGCGCCTCTAAGAGGGTGCTGAGTTTGGTGCTGTTCAGTTAAGTTCAGAAAGGACAGTTATATGCACTCACGAAGAGAGGATGAGAGGGAGGTAAAGAAGATGCTTGTTCAGCAAGGCCTGCTGAAGTTGTAGGAAGACTTTTACTGGTTTCAGCAAATGAGCTGTTAGCCTAGAGAAGCAATACGCACAATTACAAATGCAGCTAGGAATAAACGGTTCTGCATGTCGATTTTGACAGGGCAGAAACTGATGCACTTAAATTGCAGTGAGGAGTGCTTATGTTAGATGTTGTGAAAGACTTTCTGATGTTCATAGCAGTCAGACACTGGAGCAGACTGGTGGGGAAGCGTTGGAATAGCTAACGCTGGAGTGTTGTAGGAAGATTAGACTGACAGCTGTCAGTAATGGTTTAGCTGGAACTGACCCTGCCTGGGGGTGGAAGGGATGGACTGGACAACCTCTGGAGGTCTCTGCCACCTCTAATTTCTGTAATTCCCAGGATTTAAAATGGTTTTGCCAGTGGCACTGACTATTTTCGATTGATGCAAGTTCTGCGTATTTATCGTGCATGATGTGCTATACGTTATTGCCCAGTGTAATGAAAGCAAGGTGCGTGCATCAGAAAACAGGCTGGTATGTCCACTAATTCCCTCTTTTTTTTAGCTGGATGCAAAGCAGTCGTCACCTACAACCAGGGAGTCAGGGGCGGCCGAATCATAGAGCTGAAGACAACTGTGGATAAAGCTGTAAAGAACTGTCCGAGCATCAAACATGTCTTTGTGGCTCAGAGGACAGAGAACAAAGTCCAGATGGGTGACTGCGACGTTCCTCTTGAAGAAGTACGTTGATGTTGGTAAACCTTGCCCGTTTCCCCTGACATTTCTCAAAATATGTGGTGTTTATAGTGTTTGGGGAGAGGATCATGGTACTGTGAGAACTGTAGGGCTCAGCTCGCACAGCTTGGGAAGAACTGAGGCAGGGTTGTTTAGAACAAGCGCATGAGAGACTAGCTGAATGTGTAGATCATGCACACCTTGATATTTGGCATTGGTCTTTGGTCTGCTGTGGGCTACACTGAGAATCTGCAGCCAAGGAAGATCAGGTGGTCTCTGCACTTTCCTTTTACACGTGTGCTGGGTTAAAAGCCTATGAAGCAGTTACTGCACTGCAAACTTGGCTGGGTAGTGTAGCCATCCAAGACTTGCCAGCTTCGCTTCTGGTAGCAATGACTGGTCTTTACCCTGCTTCTGTAGCAGGTTTTCAGTGTGTGCTGAGCACCAGGCTGCTCTTCCTGTGCTGCCACAGTATCCCAGTGGGCTGATGGATATGGCTGTGTTACAGTGACAGCATGTGTACCTCTCTGCAGTCACCTAGCTCTGCAGACTTCCATTGGCACTCTGGTTAACTCCTTCCTGTAGGTCCAAGTGTTGGCCAGATCATCTTTCCCTCCATCTGTGGCTTTTGGAGATGCAGATGAAAAGGAGATGCTTTATAGTATCTGGCTTTTCCTCCTCAGATGCATTGCCTTTATTTACGGTCTGCTGGGTCAGTAAGTTGAAGCAGCTTAGTCTACATCGGGTTAATTCCAGGATGGGCAGGGGCTATGTTGCTCCATTTTAGTAGTCTTGCAAACAGAGCTGAGATTTAAGGAAGAAGTGCTACCTCAGACCAGGAGTGCACTGATATTGTTGCCATTACTTTATACTGTGTTCAGACATGCTGTTACGGTTTGTGAGCTGCCATATATGCTGTCACTGCCAAATGGTCAAGTTCCAGGAGAGACTTAATACAGTCAAAGGACAGTATAATGGTTCCCCCATGGTGGAGGGGACAGTGATGGCTTGGGAATATTTGCAGCCTACACTGCCTGGAGAAGAAAGCAGTGGTCATTTTAATGTGTTTAGCTGTCACGCCTGGGACTCTGCAGCCTAACGCGAAAGTAGTTTTATCAGTTTGCCAGCAGCAATAAGCAGAAAGAACCCATCACAGTAATTCCTGGAAATCACCTCTCTGCAGACAAGATAATTATTCGGGAGTCCCTGTGCTGGTCACATGAGATAGGAGGAAGGGCAGGCAATTAGTAGGATACCTTAAGCAGGACAAGGTAGGTTTTAGTCCTTCCTACTCTGCTAAGCACACAGTAAGTTCTTTTCCGGAGTCAGCCTGAGGCTATTTATTGTTCTGAGAGAACTGAGCTCACACCATTGTCTATTGCAGAGTTAACTCTGAAACGTAACAAGAATTCAACTGTTAGTGCCATTAACTCTTTCATCACTGATCTTTACAGCCGAAACATCCAGCTGTTGTGCTTGTCTCCCAGCTCATGGGTGCTTTCTGTCTTGACCTACGTGTTCCATCTCTTCAATCCCCTACTCACCACTGGCTTCCAGTTTGTCCCTCTGTATGCAATTTTGTGTCCTTCATACAAATTTCTGAGAAGCAATGAGAATGTGGGGCAGGGTGGAAAATGACAGTGATGTTGTACTGGCTAGCTGACTTTTTCTAATTCGCTCACATATCCCCTTTCTTAGCTGAACTGCAACTACTGTGCAAAAGCTTACAGTAAAATTTAAGCTTGTGTTGTGCTGAAGCACATGAGAACTTGATGTCAGTATCAAAAACTGGTAAGTCAGCCTGAACTGGCAATGTTAAAGGGTCACAGTAAATACCTGAGATGAGCAGGAGTGCTGTAACTCACAGGATAAGAATTTCATCTGACCCTGCCAGCTGCTCTTGTACTATTACGCTTCATTTGTCAGAAACTTTTAAGCAATTAGACCTGCTGTTAGTAGTGTTCAGTTGTAGATACAGAATGTTCACAGTGTATACTTTTAAAAAAGGCAGTAGCTAGAAATCTCTTCAAAGAGCCACCTAATAACCCTTGCAGGATGCATTATTCATCTGGGACAGTATGGGGTTTGAGAGAAGCAAGCCAACTGTGCCTTTTTGCAGCCATATGTTGAGCCTGTGGAACACACAGTGATTACTGTGTGTTTTCATGCAGCTAAGAGAAATGTTCAACATCTTCCTGAAAAATTTACAGTCTGGGCAGACAGGCTATAGAAAGGGTGCTCTTCCACCGGGAGCAGAGCGCCTTTGTGCTGTTCATCTTGCCCTGGAAGGAAGGCTTTCTCCAGGTCCAAGTGTCATACAGGGAAACTTTTTAGCGCTAGAGTTATACTTCCAGTTCACAGCATATCTTAATTCTAGCACTTTGCTTCACTGATGGAAAATGTAAATGCCATTATCACTTTGCCACCCCCAGGTTGTTCAGATGTAGAGGGTAAGTAAAAGGCTCAGAAGCAGCGGCGAGCAAGCACGTGGTAGGCATTCTGATAGTGATGTCCAAAGTTTCACTGTCTGTTTTGATCTGAAGATTTTCCTTGAAATCGCTAGGTCTGTTGTTTTTCGCAGTGCAGTTCTTTGCCACATCTTACCTCCGCCTTCTGCTCTGTCTGGATCAAGCATACGAGGCAGGACCGGGGGCTGGTTCTCATGCACTTTCATGCAGGGTCTAAGTGCTCATGAGAGGCAACATCCTTTCTCAGTTCTTTGCGACTGCGGCACTTACTGCTTTTGTGAGCGTTTTTTGGATGTTGGCCCTCTGGAAGCACCACTGCTGCAAGATGCAGTGACCCCACACATCTCTCTTAAAGCACTTTCTGCTGCTGGACTGAGCAAAAGCTGGGCCAAAAATTTGCTCTGAACTAGCAGGAAATTACCTCTGCTCTTCCAGTGGCTCTGACCCGAGGGTTGAGGAGAAGAATTCAAGTTTGGCTTCTTAGCCACCTGGTCAAAAGATGGAGTATAGGGAGAACAGCAAAGGCAGGAGAGTAAAGCGCAGAGGCTAATGGGACAGGACAGTCAGCCGCTGCTGGGGCCAGAGAAGGGAGGTGACCGCGCAGTTTAACTGTAGCAGTGCAGTTTTAAAAGAAAAAGAAAGATCCGCAACAGGATCCAGTCAGCCTTGCTGCTACTGTCAAGGTTGGCTCATGCTTGCAGCTGCACTTTGGTTTTCTAACAGCAGCTTGCAAGGGCTTGAAATGTAAGCTAGTGCCTACCCTTTTTTTCCTAAGTGTTATTTTGTCTGGCTCCTTCCCCTTGACTTCTGAGCGTGGCAGAGGTATTGGTGGAGGGACTAGATGTTATGTGTCCTCAGGAAGTTCCCCACAGGTATGTAACCTATGATACATCCATGCGCGTTTGTGAGAGGGGTAGTTCTGTGGTAGTTTTTCTCCTCGGACACTGCTGAAGTGCTTACAGATGGAGTATTGATCGACTCCAGGCAGCCAAAGTCTTCCTCCCGTTACCAATTTTTTTTTTTCCCGTAGGAGATGGCCAAGGCAGCTTCTGTGTGCACTCCAGAGTGTATGGACAGTGAAGACATGCTCTTCATGCTGTATACTTCAGGCAGCACTGGGAAACCCAAAGGAATTGTTCACACCCAGGCTGGATACCTGCTGTATGCTGCTCTCACGCACAAGGTAATTCAGATATAGCCTCTGGAAAAGGTTCACTTACCTTCTGTCAGTATTAATGGGAGAAACTCCGACTGCTGTATTCTGTGTTCACTGCCTAAGTGGCTTAGTGGGTGTAATAAGGCAGAAGAATGCCTGAGAACATATAATTAATCTTCAGGATTTGTTGCTGGAGAATATAATCCTATAAAAACAGAGCCTAGGGGTATGAATAGAAACAAACTGTGCTGTGCTGCTACTTTTGCATTTAAAGTGTGTTAGCCTTGTAGGCCAAAATTTGCAAAGACAATAAAGTGATGCAGCTGAGGAAATCCAGGTAGGTAACGTCACTGGCATTGGTAATGTGGATATGAGCGTATTAGTTTTGCAGTGGGGTGCTGGCCTTTTCACTTTTATTGCAGAGAGGATCTGGACTCTTAGAAACAACCATGTTGCATAACACTTGTTTTCTGAAGATTAAAAATTATATTGTGCTTAGTGGTTGTACATTTGTACTGATTTTCTTTGTGAGCTTGCTAAACGCTTTACCTTCCTTTCTCTTGTAAAAAATGATCACGTCTCTGCTTCCTGAGACTTCTGGTCTGTGCTCTGCATGTTAAAAGCTAGTACTGAAATGCAGACAGGATTGTTGTGAGGGATCTCCATCTGACCACGTTGGTATTGCCCTGTTTATAATCACACGCAATTCCTTCAGACATTTTATTTCTTTAGGCTGGCACAGTTGAATTTTTAGAAGATTTGAACGTGATCCCTGCAAGTTTCAGACTTCTCTGCATTGAGAGTATTGTTATATGTCAGCTTTTCCAAATGATAGTGTAATTGCCAAGGTGTCTATTTGTTTCTCAGTCCAGAAGGAAAATCTTGCATTCTGGTGCAGACACTGAGGGAGGCATTGTATGCAGCTGCATTCCCTTTAGAGGTACTCTTGCCTGGCAGGGAGAGATATTTGCAAAGGTAAGCTGAGAATTACCTCTTTTAGATAGAGGAATCAGCTGACCTGTGTGGCCTTCCTGCCTCTGTAGTCTTTGATATTCTAACTTAGATTTTAGGGGAGAGGGTATGTCATACGCTCATGGGTTTTTTTGAGTTCCGATCTGCTTTCTTTGATTTCATGCATAAAACTAATTCTGCCTTATGAGTCAGGACCTTTTCCCCATCTGGTAGAAGAATTAGATTTACAGTGGGGAGCATTTTCCATAACTGAGACGAGATAATGAGTCCCTGAATATTTTTACTTTCAATTTGATGAACGGGGACAGGGGAGCATCTGGAAAAGAATACAGAGGAGGAGTGATAGAGGAGCTGAGCAGCAGCTGAGAACGTTTCTCAGAAAACGTTTCACAGGAACATGTCAGTTTCTCCAGCTTTCTGATTGGAAACCTGCTTGGATTCATGACGTGTCTGAGCCTCCAAGGCCTGCAGCTCCCCTACAGTTCAGGGTCAACTCACCAGTGAGGCCTGCCCTGTGTGGGCAACCTCAGGTATCCAGAGCTTTGGGCTCTGGTTGTAGGCTCCTGTCTTGGCAGCTTCTGGTACAACCAGCCTCCCTGCTGCCAGTATGTTTGCAAAAGCGGTCAGGAGACTGGAAGCCCTGCTCCCTCTGACTTGCTTCCTCACCTTGGGCTGGCCTTTATCTGTGCTGTTGTGTCCTGTGTGCCTGGCTCCACTCACCCCGCAAGCTCTCTTGCTCCCAAATGGCCATATCCAAACGAGCACCTCGCCTTTGAGCTCTTTGTGCCTGCTGACAGGAAGTCAGCTGGCCTTACGTTTATCTTTGCAGTATGTATTTGACTACCAGCAAGGTGATGTTTTCGGCTGTGTGGCTGACATTGGCTGGATCACGGGACACAGCTATGTTGTATATGGACCACTCTGCAACGGAGCCACCTCTGTCCTGTTTGAAAGCACTCCAGTGTACCCTGACCCAGGTGAGGGAATGGTGAGCAAAGGTTTTGCTAGGCATGGCAGTATGACATGGGAAAAGGAGTCTGGGAAACCTGTCCAGTGTCAGCTGCCTACTCAGGGGATGTAAGCTCTGTTTCTTTGGAACATGTGACTGTAACGTTCAGGAACATCTGTGCATCCAGGGTAAAAATAGGTGCCATTGATTCTGCTCTGTACTCACAGTAGTCACAGCTTTCGCTTTAGCTGTTAACCTTTGCATTGAGCATTTGTAGCAGTATGTGTTCCACTGCTAGACAAATAAATGGGCTGTTTGGGATGTTGCAGGTCGTTACTGGGAAATGGTACAAAGGTTGAAAATTAATCAATTTTATGGAGCACCTACGGCTATACGCTTGCTGCTGAAGTATGGAGATGAGTGGGTGAAGAAATATGACAGATCTTCCCTAAAGACCCTGGGATCAGGTGAGAGGCAGGACGTCTTCCTCTGAAAAAGACAGAGGGTTCTAGCAGATGAGAATAGAGATTCCAGAGGAGCTCGGCTGACCAGATGGAATATGGTTGAAAATAGATGATAAAGCAAGTTCCCCATCTAAGGGGAACCAGACATAGTTTCAGCAGAAAGAGAAACAAACTGAAGTTGGTCCCATTGTACTTCAGTGTGATTGTCCGTTTCCTAGCTTTTTGCAGGATTGTGTTCTCAGCTAAAAAGATGTACCTACTAGTAAATGGCATCGTTTTGAACTTTACCGGTCTAGGTGGCCCTCGCAGCGTTTTCCTGTATTATTTTGGATTCTGGAGGTTCTCGTACATGATCTGCATTGATTAATTGCTTTCAGTGAGAGTTCTTGCTTGCCTTTTGACCTTTCTGGAAAAGCCAAGTTCTCAGTTACATGAGTGCACTGCAGTCTTTGCACTTCTCAGCAAAAATGCTGTGAGCATTCTGATTAGAGATCGTGCAATCAGCACGTTGTGCACAGCAAGGGAGAATGAAGAGCCTGCAACCCCTTGTGTCTCCATCTCTTTCCTTTCTTGTTTTGGATCTAGTGGGAGAGCCCATCAACAATGAAGCTTGGCAGTGGTTCTACCATGTGGTGGGAGATGGGCGCTGCACCCTTGTCGACACGTGGTGGCAGACAGGTAAAGGGCATCCTCGGGGAGTGTGACTGTTGACAGAGAGGTCTTGTTGCTGGTGGCATTTCAACTTGACCTGAAGAGTCTACCAAAATAAACCCCTTCTGGTATTTTGATCAGATTTTGAAAACCACTGGGAAGTTTCAGCATGTAACAGCACTATAATAACATATAATAGCAACAGCAATGTTTGTGGGTTTTTTCCCCCCCCCGGAAACCTTCTTTGATATTTTGAATGATGGAAAATCTCAAGCGGTTCTAGAAACAGAAGGCAGAAATGGAATTCCTCAGCAGAGCTGGGAGAAGGCAGCTTGAACTGGAAACCTCATGGAATTTATTTCTACAACTGGCCTCACCTTGATATGGTCTTATCATGAAAAGGCTTTTATAGTACCATAGTGCTATAAATTGTACTTACATGTACTTTGTTTGCTTTCGCTGAGAAAGATCAGAGTGGCATTGAAAATTGAGCTGTATAGTCAAAAGTACTATTTTAACTATGCTGACTGAAAAGGAATCAGTTAAAGCTTGTTGTCTGTGCATCAAGCGGACATGGAGTCAAGGGCTGTTATCCAGCAGGGATGATGGGGCTCACCCTTGCTCAGGAGGAAAGGGGAGTTAGCATATTGCTTTGGTCCTGGGCCTTTGATGGCGCAAAAAGGAGGAGTACACCTCTGTTTTGGCAACACGCTCGGCCTGGTTCTGCGCGTTCAGTGAACTTAGTGTCAGTTAAGGCCAGATTTCCATTTACAGCCTGCTTGGCAGAGTGACTGGAGTAACTGGCCGTGGTCTCAGATCCCTGTCAAGCTGGAGCAGGAAAATCACTCACAGCTGGTTCCTGCTTCCTCATCTCCCAGCCAGCAACATATTGGACTTGCTCAGAGTGCAGACCTCTGGCTCCGTACTCACTTGGCTATCAGACAAAGCTGCTCGCTCTCGTCTGAGAGAGAGGTCACCGTGCTGCCTAGTGGGGCCCTACCCTTGGAGGAGCCCCTTCCCAGCCACATCAGCAGCAAGTCCGCTGTTCTGGGCCCTGATATCGAGAGTTGCTAAAGGCGTCTTGAACGCTCTTTCCCAAAATCTGGATGGAAATATGTCCTTGTCAAGTGCCGAGCCACACAGTCTGCTCCTGCTACCAGACTCTCTCTTCAGGATCCCTGTGGCCAGTCCCAGCACTCAGTGTGAGGAGCTAGTTTCTGGCACAGAGCCAAGTCCCGTTTAATCCAGATCAGATGTGCAGACTTTTTATTTTCAGATTTAAAATAAAACAGCCTCAGAATTCAGGGCAGCAATTCTACGTACTACCTACTTCAGTTAGTAATCCCTTAAGCCATCTGGGTTTGCACGTGCTGAACAGAAGAAAACCTGACTGGCTATGAGCTGCATGCTTTCCTCCTCTCACTGATCTGAGATAGAAGACAGTCGAAAAACAGTTGATTACTGTACAGTGATGGAGATGAGACATGATCTCTTTTGCCCTCAACATTTTTGGGTTTAGCTGAAGTTACTGATGTGTGCAGTGGGGTAGGTCTCCTAAACTTATTTTCCCTCTAAGACCTTTCCCTTTAAGATCTTAAAGTAAACTGTAATTCTCCTGTTTTTTGGGAGCAACAACTGTTAGGGGAGAGATTGAAGAACATTTACTGGACAGCCTGTAAATGCAGAGTGCTTGATGTTTACCTTGAACTGGGCATAGATTTGCAAGCGAACAGTCACCAGCTCCTGGAAGCATGATATAAAGATAAATATTTATGAAATTGATTTTACTAGAAAGTGGAATCAGTCTTCCTCCACAGCTGATGCTTCCAATAAAAAGGAAGCCAGATTAATCATGGAAAGATTATATATGCCATTTGGGCATAAAGAGAGCCTGGAAAGAGATCATAGAAACAGTTTGATGGATGCTGCTTATAGTGTTGCAGTGTCACCTCTCTCAGAGAATTTCAGTACAGCATGTTAATTGTACTGTTGTAGGCAGTGTCCTCTACGGTATGTTGTTCTCCAAAGCAGCAACATGTTGCCTGGTAATAAAGCCCAGCAGGCATAAGGATCAGCAAATGATGATTTAAGAATCCATTTGAAAGTCTGGATGAGCAGATGAGAGAGACAGAGATTATGAAAAGCAATTTAAGTGGTGTGGTATGTGCTGACGAGAGAGACAAAATTTCTGTGACTCTCAGTGCTAAAATATTGGGTAGCAAGTATCTGTTCTGTGATTGACAGTAATAGGGTCAAAGCTGTGTTTGAGTTTCAAGTCTAGTTCTACACAACGCAAAAGAGACACTAGGTGCTTTTGCTTTTGTTGTTGTTTTTATAACAAAAATACAGCTGTTGTTTGCAGACCAGTGTGTATGTAGTATGTATCAAGCAACAGTATGTATCAAGAACACGAGCTGTTCTTGAGAGGCATCTCTGAATAGGCCCTGGAAATTTCGTTGTTGGGTTCTTACATGGACCCTGCCTTACAGTGTTTTAAACTGGGCCAGTGCGGCTTTGCTGGATTCCCTCCTGAAGTAGGCAAAGGCAGGCAAGCCAGTCTAGCTGTGGTGGTTTAAGAAAACGGTAGTGGAAAGCTCACACTCCAACCTTACCTGCAACAGAAGGGAACCCGTTTCGGTGCATCACCTGCCCTACCCGGCCTCTGCTGTCCTTGCTTAAACTTGAGGTGGATTTGCACCAAGGTGGTAGTGTGGGAGCAAATAAAGGGTAAGCACAGCTTTCCTTCTGCCAGCTCTGCCTCTGAGGAGACAGTCTTTGGCAGGGCAGGACAGAGCCTACTACTGTAAGACTTGCTGGCTGTCATCTGTCAGTGGCTAAAATTGGTACTTTTAAGCCAGCTGAGCAGCATCCGCACAACGTTTGTATAGGTCTTAATATTCAAATTGTTTTTAAAGCACCCCTGCCACCACGTAGCTGCCTCTGGAATGTGACTTTGCTGATATGCAGTCAGCTGCAGGTTGTGTAGGATGTGACAAAACCCCTGTCAAAGCATAGCTTACTTTCTGTGTTCAGAATGAGTACTTGCTTAGGAAGAACAACCATCACTTTAAGCAGTTTCCCTGCTCTGACGCACATTTTGTCTGTGCAAACACAGAACAGTGGGTTTGGGCTGAAAAAATTCAAGATGACCTTTTCACAGTGAATAGCAACATGTGATATAGATGCTTGTCCATCAGTGGAACGTGTATTTTACATGCGATCTGAAAGCCACATCTGAAACTGTTTTCTGCACGTCTGAAACGCACGTTTTCTCAGAGACCCTTTCTCACAGCCACGTCAGGGCAGCTGAGAGGCAAATTCAGCCCTTCCAGCTCCTGGTTTCAGTTTCCACCACCTCAGCAAAGCCAGTGCAGCGATGCACTTCAACAGTGGCAGAACATATCTTTATTTATAGAGATATATATTTTTTAATCCTAATGTTCCTGTGTTTTTGTTTCTCTCCTGTGTCTCTGAATTCGTTTTAGAATAGAAAAGATCTGTTAAGGTTGGAAACTGGTTTAATGCGCATCGCAGCAAGAGTGACGAAGAATGATTAAAAGGTTCAGTTTTGAATAGAAGATAATCTCAGCCTGCCTGTAAAGGATGGGTTATTCTCATACTCTGTAATAACAGTAATTCAGACTCCTGAAGTGCTTTTCATACTGTCCCACAGGGTGCTGTAAAAACAGCCCAAGGAGATAAATCCCCTTGATGTGCTAGGAATAGGGGTAGGGGGATAGGAAATGGGGGTGATAGGGACCACCCTCCCCCCCCCCCCCCGCCCCCCCTCACCTGCAGAGAACAAACAAGGGG